TTACGAGGGTTTACGTACACGCTCACTGTCTTGTTCCCACACCTCAACATTTGCTAACCCCCACTCGGCCACATAGACGTATGCTGTTTCGCCTTTCCGCTCCTCCTTGCGACACGGTGAACAACAACCTAAACCCCCCCTAACACCTCCAACGCCGGCGCATTGCCCCCCGACCTCATCCCGCATCAGTGACCAGCCGCCCGCATCAATGACCAGCCACCCGCATTCCCACTGACTCGCAATCCCCACCCCCCCTCCCCCCCGCACGTTTTCACCGCCTCCAACACTGAGAGCCCTAACGGTTCTTCCTTCCCTTCCCCTGCCCCACGGCGTGCCACAACTAGGTGCCCACCCCTCCCACCTATCAGCTGTCTGTTTGTCGTTGTCTGTCCTGTCGCGCCAGCCGACCTAGTCTGCCGACTTCCCTTTCCCTCTGTTCATTTCGTCTGACGACGGGTCGGTGTCACCGACTTGAAAATTTACGAGTACAACTCAATATTCCGAAGAGCCTTCACTTTCTCATATATATATATATCATAATTAATATTCCCGATCACAACCGACAGGACAACGGGCCCGTGGCTCAATGGTAGAGCGTCAAACTCCATGACCAAAGATCCCGGGTTCGAATCTCAAGTGATCCACACTTGGGGTTGGGTTTGGCTGGCTGATGACGGCTAATAAGCCAGAAATGGCCATTCCGGTCTCCCTTGTCTTTGTCGGCTCCATCTCATATATATATGTATATGTATATATGTATATATATATATATATGAAGTGAGTAATTTCTGAAATTGCTCAGTGCAGGACTTGAAGTTAAATCTCCGGGACATGACTTTTTTGGATCAGAACCGAAATTTTAATGAACATTCGAGTCGAACACAATCAACTACTGCTGAATAACCACGTAATGCCCATTCTACAAACAAGTAGTAATACAAGAGTATGAAATCCGTATGATAAAGGTATTATACCGTAATCCCGACATAGATACTTGCTAAAAGCTCCGACACGTGTTTCGCCGATACTCTGCCGCTGCGTGGCACAGCTGCGAGGGGTTCGGCTCTTCAATGGGACCCCCAGAGTTCTCTATGCGGTTTCTGGTATATGAACTCCAGAGAATAATCAAGTGAATAATTTCAGAAATTACTCAGTGCAGGACTTGGAGTTAAATCACCGGGACATGACTTTTTAGCGTCAGGACCGAAATTTCAATGTTTATGGAGTTCATATACCAGAAACCTCATAGAGGACGCTGAGGGTCCTACTGAAGAGCCGAACCCCTCGCAGCTGTGTCACGCAGCGGCAGAATATCGGCGAAACACGTGTTGGAGCTTTTAGCAAGTATCTATGTCGGGAGTACGGTATAATGCCTTTACCATATGGATATATATATTTCACTTTTGTATATAAGAAGAAGATGATCTCCAATTTATAATGAATCGTCCTCTTCGGACTATGTTGCCAATTTAGCCATTTATTTTATTGCTGGCTTGTGTCGTCTGTGGGGGGATCTCAAACTAAATATGACTACGGCCACGCCACTAATACGTGACAGGCCTTACAAATCCTGATGTTATACGTAAGTATGTTAACTATCAGAAGATGAAGATGCGATCACTGGGACAAGAAGTTTATTTGCCTGACGTTTCGGATTCTCACTCGAACCCATCATCAGAGACATTCGCAGATAGAGGTGTTAACTATCGTAGGCGGGGCGTTCACCAATCGGGTTGCGGAACACGGTTGTGCCGTTGCGCCCCGGCAGGAAGGAGTGCGGACAACCGCTGTGGACATTTCCGGCTCATTGGCCGTTACCAGCCAACCTTACCCAACCCAAAGTTGGCGAGACTTGGAGTTCGAACTCGAGATCTTCGGTGATGGGGCGTTAATTCCAACGTCCTCTACCAGTGCATCTCTCTAAAATTCATGTCACTAAGGCGTAAAACCACTTGCTAACTTCATAGCCAACTTGTCCATCTCGCATCTATCCACGAATTTACGATTTATTGGTGCCTTAACACTGTATTGGGCGGTTGCTTGGAGCGTTATAAGTAGTTTGCACCTCGAATGTGTTCGAAGAAGGACCCATGAATTGCTGCCGGTATGACAGCTTAAGGTTGTGCTGCCGCATGTTTCAGGGGGCGATTGCGTTGTCGGCGAACTTTTCTGCATAAATGGCTGTCTGCCGCGTCCCAGCTGGCAGAAAGCCAGCCAAGGCGGGCGTGTATGTGGATAAGCTGGAAAAGAAAGACAGTCGCTTTGGGTTTCGTTGTCATAGTAGATGGCAAAGCACTTAGGCTGGCCGATATGATCTGCCAGTTTGCATTCAAAAGCCATATAATCCCATTAAAAATGTCGCTTTTCCAGTTTACGGGACAGGAATTTAGGAACTCGCACGAGAAAATCAGTCGAAAAAGAAGTAGATTACACGCACTTATGTCCTGCACTTGCGAGGTAGTAGCGTAAGTGCTGTCGGCGGTCGTGACCGCTGGCCGCTTGGCCAGTTTCCGTCATCTTAGACTTTCTCAGTCTCGGTTAGGGCCTTTCACGTCACTAAACTCATCTGGCTATCCTGCGCTCTCTGGCTTGCCCATGCAGGTTGACTTTGGGTTCGCCAGCCCTGAAATTGGCCTTCGGGTAGAAGCCCAGCCCTCAATTCAGCGATGACAATGAGAATTTGACTCAGGTTAGCAAACGTAAGAGGAGATCCGAGTAGATAATCTGAGAAATGTGAAGGATTCACTGGGTCAGTGGAGAATTAAGTGACTGACATTTTAGAGGCCTTAGTCGGTTCTCCATTATAAAAGCGCTTTGAATAAACGGCCGAATTCGTTGGCCTTGGGCCGATCTATTTTTTTCTTTTTTCGCTGCCTTGGCCTTCTGGTCGTTGTCTGTGAATGTAGGCAGCCTTCTGCATTGCGTGTCGTCACCTCAACGGGGGTCTGTTGCACCTGTGCTCCTCATTTGGGTGAATTAGTCGACGAGCCGTGTTCGCCTGGTATTTTTAGACTCCATGTGACCCTCTGGTCCTGGTCGTGGCGTATGTAGTGACGCAGGACTTCATAGGCCGCAGGAAGGTCTAGATGCCTGCTGATGAAATTTGCATCTGAGTACCAAGCCTCAAGTGTGAGACTTCCTGTTCTTGAGGTGCCTCGGCTAAGGACGGTTGCTCCTTGAAAGTCAAAACTGTGGCCGGCTTTTCCGATGTGAGTCGCAAGCTGTGAGTTCGGGTCCGGTCTCGGAGTTGCCAGTTTGTGCTCGTGTAGACGGGTCTGCAATTTCCGTCCGGTTTCCCCAACATAGTTGCAGTCTCCATCGTTACAACTTATTTGATAGACAACTGCTGAGGTTCCAGTGGGTGGCAGCGTGATTTTGGGTCGAATCAAACGGCGCCGAAGAACAATGACTACTCTGGCGGGAGACTGCGATGAGTAAATGTAAGGTCACTTTCACACGATAATACCGTGTGAAACCTCGAGTGGTTTGTCATCGGAACTGTAATTCAAAATTAAAGATCCAAGATAATCGTCAAACTTTTCTGCCATAACCACCGACGGTTAGGTAAAAAAAAATAGGTGCGCCATGTCGTACTGGTGGGCGGACAAGTCCTAACAATCAACTTAAAGAGTCAGTTATTACATAAAAAACGGAGTAGTTATAAGTCAGACGCCTAGCTCCAGCAAGTTTGCTGACTTCGTAAGAAGCCAACCTCCTGATTTTTTTTTCGCACCGTTGTACCTTTTCTATTTCTCCTCTTTAGTCGGTGAAACCGCGACCGATAGCTTTCCTGTTCTACGCACACCTTCCGGACTCCACCAGAGGCATGCTGCAGTCCTTCACTCACGGCAATGAACTAAAACGCCTCCGTGGTAGGTCTCCAATTTCATCAACCCCCCCCCCCACCCTATCCTCCTCTGAAGTCACCGATCGTATCTGCCTTGGCTATCTCTCTGTAAGTCCCCTGTCTTCACCAAAAACTGAATGCGTCATTCGTTTCACGACAAAAGGTGGATTACTGTAACCATTACGTTACCATTACGGTAACCATTTACGTCACCTTTGAAGTTGCTGTCACCCGATATGGTGCGACATCTCAGCCCCGCTGAGATTTTTGAACGTGACTTCTTCTGCTTCGCGGAGGCTGCATTAAACCGAAGTAGCGACCTATTCGTGAGGAACTGAATGAACCGGGTGGGGTGATCACATCCAGCGCAACTGACTGAGTGTTAGTTATAATGTGTCAGACTGCTACAACAATGGTACAACTTTGTTTAGACGTCTGGATACAGGCGTATGCGTAGCAACTGACCTGCTATGATGTCACAGTCTACACGTGCCACGGGCGCGCCGCCTTATCAGACTCAGACTGACTGAATTTAAATCGCTCCGTAAGTTCAGATTGACGAGGAGTCATTGCAACCTGGCATTCAGTCAGGCAGCCCAACCTATTCTGCCAGTTTGAAGCCCTCCAACTCTTAAGACTCCGTAATAAGGCTTTGGATTTTTTATAATGACATAAGGTCCAGCAGGATTATGCTCATTCTCATGCGGGTGAGGTCGAATGAAGTGATTAACCAGATACTTCTACCCGCCATCTCGTTTGTCACCGACACGTTTTGGCGACCGTTGAGGTCTTGGGATGCTGATGTCGCCTGCGTGGGGGGAGGGGCTCTCATCGTGGGTATGCGGTCAAGAATGACTCACATTCCCTCAGATGCGTTGCCAAGTCAGGTCCTGTGATCAGCGTGCTACATGCCCGAGTTACGGGTGCGTCTCCAGATCTGGATGTGTCGATAGTGTTGGAGGTACGGGGACGCAAATTTCGTCTGTGACATGCCAGAAAAATAGGACGTAACAGTGGTCCCTCGCAATTGACGAAGACCATCATTACCTGGGCGAGCAATGGGGATTTACGCGTAAATTGGCCTACTGGGAGGGGGCTTGCGCAGCGTCTATCCCACACTATCTCTACCCGCATCTATCATGTTCCATAAGTGAAAGTCAAGACGTGAGTGCAGTGGTTGAACCCACATCTACGCGTACAGCGCATGTGCTACACACACCAACCAGCTTTCCAATGTGTCGAACCCCTCTTTAAGGGGTTGCCATAGACCAAATTAAGAAGGGACCATTGTAGCCCCCCCCCCCCTCGGCCTGTTAGGGGATCCGCTTATATTGTCAGTTGGTAGCCTTCCAAACCGCGATTTCAGGGGCGTGGGGACAATTGAAGGCCCTTCAGACTTATTGTTAGTGTGTAGTGTCTTGATTGCCATAGGGGAAGTGCCTCAGTCCCACACGCCTAAAGGGCCCTTCAAAGGCAGATTTCTGTCAACCTTATGAAACCCTGCAGAAAGATCGAAAAGGCCGTGGTTTTACCCCCCCCCCCCCGGCCTGGTTTGCACAACTGTTAAGTCAGAGAACAGTTTGGTCTAACCTTTTTACTAAGCTCAACGTTGCCGCCGGTAAGGGCATTCAATTAGGTCGTGCCATTCCTACAGTGCGTGACCTATCTCATGAAATGTTGGCTGAAATTCTGAAAGGCGTTGTCAATTAAAAAGGATTACTTGGTCGCGGTTGTGATACTGATTATCTTAAGGCATACTCTTATAACATTTTGGACACGGCAGGATGTCGGCTTTTAAATGCACTTCTTTTCAATCTCCTTTAGAAAGCGTGTTCGGTAAAAAATAACTACTTAATTAGCATGCGTTTTTCCCATTGATTTTCGATGGTCTTGGAAATTCAAATATATTTTATAGAAACCACAAACAAAAATATGCTTTCTTTTAGTCATTCAATAGAGAATCACTTCTTCTTTATATTGTATACTTAAGGAAGGAGTATAATTAGGTTTTAAAAAAGTTTGACTGGATCGCCTTTTACCGGATGTAGGAGTCGGGGAAGAAGAACTCACGCTCCATTTCTGACACCGCTTCGCCACACCGTTGTTGTTCTTCTTAGACTCCTCACCGCCTCCGCACTGCGTTGATTTGGTCTGCGCCTAATACAACTCTTGTCTATTTTCTCAGAGGCGGCGTTTCAGCACAACTTGGGTACAGACTCAGTCGGATATTTTTCTTGGTTGTGCCCGAACAAGCAGTAAGCTGGAGGTCTTTTTTGACCAGGACAGATAGTGCGCGTCTGATTCTGACATTTCACCAAATCGGCGAACTCCAACACCATCTCCATAATAACCCTAGACGTTTCGGCAATGTCCACACCAAATCTCCGGTGTTTTTTGCGTTAAACCTCTCGACACATGGTGTTTCGGAGAACACAGTGGATCCACTTTTGATTTCAATCCTGCTTTGTGGTGTACCTTTGGGGAGGGACTTGTGGCGTAGACAGGATCCGAGCCTAATGTGAGTGCCGTAGATTTTGACCTCTGCTTCTGCCCGTCCACAGAGCCGAACCGAATTCAGGCACGGGGTGATTTTAGGCAACTGCTCTGCCCTCCTGCGTGTCCGTTGCACCTAACGAGCCAGTGGCTACGTTTGCCACGACAGCGGACGACAGAATGCTGCGTCGTTTTTACCTGTGCACGCATTCCGACCCAGCGGGCCATGACATCTTAAAAGCGACTACGAATTGCACGCATTCCTGCACCGAGACAGTTGGCGGATATGCAGAAAGTCGCGCCCCAAGTCTTTCGTTGGATTTTTTAGCCAAATCACTGCGGTGGATGGAGGGCGGGCTGAGGCCGGACCGCTTGAAGTCTTATGTACATACCTGTCACAGACGTGTGCCATGGGATTCTGCATGTTCTCCTTCTGATAGACCGGTCATGCGTCGAATGTGTGTGTGTGTGCCCCTAAAACGGGCCAGGCGGGAGATGCGCCGGACCAACACAGCGACTGGATCGGAATCCGGCGGGGCGTTATCTAGGCTGCACACGCGTAACAAATGCCAACACGGCTCACGCCGTTCCGATTGGGATCGGTGCCGGATCGGTGTATAAAACCCTGGTCAGTGTCTGGTATGGACCAGCGGGCGTGGTGGTTCACCTAGGTGCGGGTTCTGGCGTGGTCGGTGTGTTAACCTATAAACCATCTGCGTCATTGTAGCAGTGCCATTGTTAGTTCACGGTCGCTTAGTTACCAGGCCACGGAGCCTGTCTGCTTACAGTAGGTGTGTCAACTCATAAAATGTTAACTGAAATGCGTTTTCGTTTCCAAAAGACTACATAAGTAGGGCTTTAAAATTAATAATCGTGCAGTATAATTCTATAATAAATCAGTTGTCTCGAGATGTCGGCTTTCGAGCGGACTTCTTTCCGGCCACATGCAAAAACCACACTCTGTAGAAAGCGACTCCTTAGATAGCATGAATTTTTTCCATTGATTTTGAATGCCCTTGAAAGTGTAATTATATTTAGTGGGAAACATGCATAAAAATATTCATTCTTTTACTTATTTGGCGGAAAGTTGCGTTTTAAAAAAACTTTTCCAATTCCTGAATAATTTTGAACCCGACCCGCCGTTACGTTTGTATTCAAGGTTTCAGAACTACAAGGTGTGCAGTTTCAGTGTACGAAAAATCCATACGATAGTAAGAGGAGACAATTTAGAGTTCATAAACTTCAACAGTGGATCCGACCCATATTGTGAACTTTACAAGAAACATCAGTAAATGCACAGACACGATGTTTTATGAACGAGAATTTCACGGCCTTAAAAATCTCATAATTAGATACTTTCTTAAAACTTAATTATACCCCTCCTTCAAGTATAAAATGTTAAGAAGACGCAATCTTCTACCAATAGAGTAAAAGAACGAATGCTTTTATGCATGCTTTCTATGAAATATTTTTGAATTTATAGGAGCAAGTAGCCATTATTTACAGAGCGCAGTTTTTCAGGCGGCCGGAAGGAAGTTCATTCGAAAGCCTGCATCTTGGGCTACACGGTGATGAGCATTACAACCATATTTTTGAGTCGGAAACACATTTGAGAATTTCGGTTGACATCTCATGAGTTAGCACGCCCACTGTAGCAGCTAGCGTCTGCCAGTTTGGGTTGAACTTTCTGACAGAGTGGACAGAGGGGTGCGAATGACATACAGTAGATGGGCCAACTCATGAAATTTCAACCAAAATTCCAAAATGCGCTTTCGTTTCGAAAAGATTAATTACTTAGGGTTGTAAAACTAGTCAGCCAGCAACATAATTCTATAATATTTCAGTTACCTCAGGATGCCGGCTTTCGAACTAACATCTTTCTGGCTGTATCCAAAAACTAGACTGTAAAAATGACTACTTAAGTAGCATGAATTTTTATCATTGATTTTCGATGTCTCCAAATGTCCAATTATATTTCATGCAAAATATGCATGAAAATATTCATTCTCCCGCTCATTCGGTAGAAAATTAGGTCTTCTTTCAAGTTTGTACTCGAAGGAAGGGCATTATTCGGTTTTAAAAAAGTTTCTAATTGTGTGACTTTTTAATACCGTGAAATGGCCGTTCACAAATGGTCATGTCTCTGCGTTTACTCACGTGGCTTGTAAAGTTAACAATATGAGTCAAATCCACTGCTAAATTTTATGAACCCTATATGGTCCCCCTTTATTACCGTAGAGAAATGTGTGGTTTTTCGTACGCGAAAAATATACGGCTTGTAGTTTGGAAACCCTGAAGCCAAGTGTAAGGGTACAACAGGTTCAAAATTATTCGGGAATTGGAAAAGTTTTTAAAAACCGAATTATACCTTTCCTTCGAGTATAACATTGGAAGAAGACGTAATTTTCTACCGAATGAGTAAAAGAATGAATACTTTTGTGCATGTTTTCCGTAAACTATAATTGAATTTTTAAGGGCATCGAAAATCAATGGGAAAATTGCATGCTACTTAAGTAGTCATTTTTTGCAGAGTGCCGTTCTTGCATGCCATCGAAAATAAGTTCATTCGAAAGAAGACACCCTGTGGCAACTGGACCATTATAGAATTATGCTGCATGATGACTAGTTTTACAACCATACTTTTTAAAAACCGAATTATCTCCCTCCTTCGAGTATAAAACTAGAAGAAGACGTCATTTTCTACCGAATGAGCAAAAGAATGAATATTTTTATGCATGTTTTCAATAAAATATAATTGGGATGTACTTCATTCGCACTCCTCTGTCCGCTCTGTCAGGAAGTGCAATCCAAACTGGTAAACTCATGAGATGTCAACCGAAATTCTTAAACGTGTTCCCGACTCAAAAATTTTGAGGAAATTAAAAAAGCAACAGCAACAACCGGCTTGTTATCGAATCCGAAATTGGATGGACAAGATGATCATTAGGCTGTTCATACAAAAGCCTCCCGCAGGCCTTATCTGGCCATTTGGCCGAGTTTACTCCGATTTCAAATGTTGTGACGAAGGCAAGCGAAGGCAGGGCGCGCAAGTTTGATCCAATTTCCGATCTCGTCTTAACCATGCGCGCTTGTGACGAAAACTTCGACCCACGGTGGTAGATGTCCATTAGTCAGAGAGCTCGAATAACGGTGAAAGCCGAAAGGTCAAACTAAGAAAGCGTGAACAATCCTGGCGCGCACACATGTTCTGCTGTTGGTGCCTTATTTGATACCCTGAGACCTCTCTCTCACACACACTACACCTTTTCTGACGAGTCACAACCCATCGACTGCGTCCTCTTTATTCACCAGTGTAGACGACTCGGCTCTGTGCTGTTTTGACCTGAAGGCGAATTCGCCCGTTATGCCCGTATTGTTCCAACTCAGCCTTTATGTTGAGATACGCAATTGATGACGGGAGTGGGCGTAATTGAAAATTAAATTCGGTAACAATCGGGAGATGGCACCCAAAAAATCCGTTACTTAGAAATAATAACTTTAACAGGGGACTCAAACGCCCTCAGGCTATATCAGCGGTTGCAGGCCTACTTTCACGCACTACTTGGACTTTTCCCGACGGCCTAACATGGGCTGGCCGAACGAACATCGCAGGTGGTTATATGGACGATGGTCGCTGTTACCCAATCTTCCTCGTCGTTACACACGTACACCTGAATATACGGCATACATTCGCATTATGGCAATTTATTACAAAACAAAATCACTTTTAAATAGGATAAGTCTGCACAACATGGGACAGGAACTGTTCCCAGGCATCCGTCAAAGACATGGCATTGAGGCCAAACCAAAGACGATGCTGTACTTCGTCTATGGGAGCGCACACAGCTCGATCACATACAGGGCCTCCCTCGTAGAGTTTCCTTTTCAGTCTGTTCAAGTATGCCTCAATGGCATTGGTGTGCCGTCCGGTGGTAGGGTCCTTGAGGTTGTTTGAGTGGTTAACAGAGAAATGTAGAAAACCTTCTGAGGGAAGACGATTATACGCCTTCCACTCGTCCGCTACCACTATACTGCCTTTGGCGACCCATTTTCTAATAGCGGAACGGAGAGCGGGCCAACTTCGATCATTCACCTGTTCAAATAAGGCTTTCTGTCGGCTAGTTTCATACATCCCGACCAGCCATTACCCATAAAACCCCTATTACTACCTGTCCCGTAAGACAGGCTGCTTTCGTTTGGCGGATTTTTTTGGGTGCCATCTCCCGGTTGTTACCTTAAATTCGAGCTTTTCTCCGGTCCTGCGGTTTTCGTGGCCAGTTCAACGCATTCTGAAGTCTATTGCGTACTGACTGCAGTAGGAGGCGATCATTTCTGACGCGCTTAACATTCTCTAAGTCGTAATATTTGTTGCTGCAAGTCCAAGTCTGACGGTCGCTCCCATGCATCCGATGTCTACACACCGCCGCTTGTGTTGTGCGCCTTCTATCGGTGGTGGCAACGTCTTGAGCGCTGTAAACGGCCCCTTGACCCCTAGTGAGTTCGCGAGGAGACTGAATCCAACCAACACCTGCCACGCACACACCTAATAGCGTGCTTGCGCAATAACTAGTGCAAAAGTGACCCAAAAGCATCAGCCAGCGTCTGTTTGTCTGCTAATCCTGTGCCCTTCGCTCTCGTCTGATTTTTCGTGTCCATTGGCCTACCTTTTGGTCAAGTTGTTTGACTCAAACCCCGTATATATTTTCGAAGGGGTTATTGCAGGCTGACCGCCAGTCCCGAAAAGGGCCAAGTTAGTTAGCCTCCCAGTTGGCAGTCATTCAAGCCATGACTGTCTAATATGCAGGGCAGATTTTAGCTTCAAAACATCTCCATCGCTTCAATGCGGCGTCTTGCATTCCAAATATATGCTACATTTGTTCAAATCGCTGATTATCATTCAATCGGCAGAGCGCCACCCTTGTTTCGAGTGCTAAAGTAAAAGTCTGACTGAAGTGTGCAGGACACTGCGATTCCCTGTATTCCATAGATATTTTGGCAGATTTTGAATAATTCATATTGACCCAACTGTGGAAAACTCGGCGCCTCGGTGGGATTCGAACCCACGCAGTAAGAGGAAGACTTTATTACAGCCAACGCTCTAACCGCTTGAGCTACGAGGCCCCACCGAGGCGCCGAGTTTTTCACAGTTTGGTCCATATGAATTATTAAAAATCTGCCAAAGCATCTATGAATTACGTGAGCGTGGTAGTCATCTGGTGGATTCTAGGCGAGTTATTTAGGGAGTCCTGCTTGGGCAGTCAACTAACTGCATCAGCTTTGGTGGATTCCAGACGTTGCAGTAGGCTGAGCGGGTAACTTGACCCAAATGTGACTAAACTCGCGTCGTCCGGCGGGGCCTCGTAGCTCAAGTGGTTAGAGCGTTGGCTGTACTAAAGCCTTCTCCTTACTGCGTGGGTTTGAATCCCACCGAGGCGCCGAGTTTTCCACAGTTGGGTCAGTATCAATTATTCCCTGTATTGTCTCTGCGCAGGTAGCCTTATGTCTTTAGTTGCCACATAACCGAAATTGACTTGTTCAACCGTAAGGGAGGATGGAAGAACGCTTGCAGAATGGAATACGAAGTATGTTCTGAGTTCCAGCCAATCGTTACATGAGCTATCCGAGATGATAAGGGACTCAGTCCACAATGGTCGCTTATGGCCTACTCTTCTTTATCTTTTCGGATCGGTGAGCACACGCCTCCGCCATTGTATATTTCCGATCGAAGCCGACAGGACAACGGGCCCGTGGCTCAGTGGTTAGAGGCGTTGGACTTCTGACTAACAGGTCGCCAGTTCGAGCCTCGGGTGTTCCACACTTCGGGGTTGGCTGACGACGGCTAATGAACCACAAATGGCCATTCCAATCTCCCTTGTGTTTGTCGGTAATACTATTCTGCCTATATCATGCGCCGCACTACGGCTGCTGGTTGGGCTCGAGAGAGAGTCCGTAAGGCACAACGGAACGAGTGAGTTCCGTAAGAACGATCGGTGAGCGCCCCATACCATTATACTACTCCGTTGTTGATTGCTCGTCGCTACGCCACGTACATGTGCCAGTGAAGGGCACCCTAAGGGACTACACTGGGCGCGTGTACAGTTCCGCAATCGGGCCGAATCCATGGGCTGGTAGGGCACTGGACCCAATAACCGACTAGAGCTGGGTATGACAGGCTCCTGACAGCAAACAGGACAGAAATAGCCATCCGAGTGTCCCAAGGCCACTGAAAACCAAATTGAGAGCTAACGCCATTTCTCCGCACCGCTGCAGCGTGTTCGGCCATTCGGATTCACAGCTGTCTTCCCGTATCTGCTTTTGTCAATGATGATGGTTTCCAGCAGGAATCCGAAACATCAGGCTAATAAAGCTCTTGTCCCATCGATTGTGTCTCCTTCGGGATATTTTTATGCATGTTTTCTGTGAAATATAGTTGAATTGGTAAGGGCGTAGAAAATCAATGAGAACAATGCATGCTACTTAAGCAGTCCTTTTTTACAGTGTATAGTTTTTGCATGCGGCCGTGAAGAAGTTCGTTCGAAAACCGGCTTCCTGGGGTAACTGAATTATTATATAATCATGCTGCATGATGATTAGTTTTACAGATCTGCCTAATTAATTTTTTTCGAAATGAAAACCCATTTCTGAATTTTGGTTGACATTTCATGAGTTGGCCCACCTACTGTGCATGTGCCCTTGAATGGAACCCCAAGGGACGACGCTAGGCGCGTTCACAGTTCCGCAATCGGGCCGAATCCATGGGCCTCACGCCTACATGACTGACTGTTCTCGATGGCTGCCGGCAGAATATAGGCTGGTAGAGCACCCGGACCCAATAATCGACTAGAGCCGGGTATGACGGGCTTGTGACAACAAAGAGGACAGAAATGACCATCCACGTCCACTGACTCTCTCACCTACTTGACCTTGCCCTCTTCACTGTCTTGCAGGCTTCACTCACGAATTGGGCGCCTTTCAAGTAAACTTCCACACGAGCAATTCGGACAGCGGCGGTAGCGTCGGCGGCAAAACCCTGCACCAGAGTCACCTCTCAGGATACTGTCCCCGAGAGGACGCCCTTCTGCCCTCCATCGTCTCCGCGCTGGCCTTCAAGAATCGCGACTCTCCGCTCATCTACCTCATGGAGAAGCAGCGTTTTGACTCCGCCTTCATCCCGCCCAGCCAACCCAACCTCTGGGTAGCCGAGGTGACCGTTCAGCCAGAAGAGGCCGGTCCGGCCGACTCGCCGCTACCGCCACCCATGACCGCGCTGGAGGTGGAGTTTGTAAGCCAGGCCTCCACCTCCTCGGATGCTATACCGCTGATTGGAAGTCACTTTGACGAACAACTGGCTAATTTCTCAGCCGCCTTTCAGGCCAAATTCCAGGCTCGTTTTCCTGTCTATGGGCTCAGACACTCGGAGGCCGAGGTGAGTGTCGTCGTTTTGATGATCACAATAGTGATGCTTGCAGCAGCGGCACTGGTAGCAGTAGTAGTAGTAGTAGTAGTAGTAGTAGTAGTAGTAGTAGTAGTAGTAGTAGTAGTAGTAGGAGTATTAGTAATAGCAATAATAATAGTAGCAGTAGGGATAGTAGTAGTGACAGTAGTGGGAGTAGCGGTGGTAATAATAATGATAGTTGCAGTAGAAATAGTAGTAGCAATGGCAGTAGTGGAAGTAGCAGTAGTAATAGTCGCAGTAGCAATAGTAGTGGTAATGGCGGTAGTGATAGTAGTAGTGGTGGTGGTAGTAGTAGTAGTAGTAGTAGTAGTAATAGTAATTGTGTTAATGGCAGTGGTTTTATCGATAGTAGTGGTGGTTGTGGTGATATTAGTAGTGGCGATGGTATTAGTAATATTAGTAGTGGTGGTAGTAGTAGCAGTGATAGCAGTGGTGGTAGTAGTAATGATAATAGTGGTGGTCGTAGTAGTAGTAGTAGTAGTAGTAGTAGTAGCCCGGTGTGCGCTGGCAGTTCCCTGACACCTGGCTCCCTGTCGGTAGATGCGCTTGCGCTCCAGCTGGATATACAGGTCTTGAGTATGACTGCCCAGTAATCCCCGTCGTCCATCTGACCCGTTATGGTGCTGTTGTTGGTTAAAATTTTGGTCAGGTATTTGTTGTGTGGACCAGGTGTGGTGGTACGCCTAGCTGCGGGTCCGTCCGTGCCAGCCACTTGCACCCTCTCCGCCTCCGGTCTTATTGGCTCCGTTTTGACACCGGGTCCAAGTGGGGGAGGAGTGGAAGGTGCGGTTGGTGCTGCGCAAGTCACCGTGCCTGCCCCACCTCGCTGTGGAACACGCGATGGACATCGTCGAGTACGACATTAGAACTGTCGCATAACGCACTATTATCGGCGTTAACATGCCTCTGTCTCTGATGATGGGTTCAAGTGATAGTCCGAAACGTCAGGCGAATGAAGCCCTTGTTCCGGTGATCACTTCTTCTTCCGATCAAGTAGAAATAAGCCTATCAACGACAGCTTCCGTTTCCTAATTGCTTGCGTGTCGAACATTTACAACCCCTGTTTATGATGAAATGCCCTCATTCATCCACAGTAAGTGACGGTTAGAAAGAATTACTTAGGTGAGATTGTAATATTGGTTATCATGTAGCATAATCCCCAAGATATTTCAGGCAAGCCAGGATGCCGATTTTAGAATGTGCGTTTTTCTGGCTGTTTACAAAAAGTAAACTCGCCAAAAATGCTTACTTAATTAGTAGGCGCTTTTTCCGTTGCTTTTCGATGCCTTTATAAATCCGAAAACATTTTATGAAGGACGCACGAAAATATTCCTAGTACTGATTTTTCAAAAAAAATTACGTCTTTTTCAAATTTTTCACGGGAAGAAACGGCATTGTTTGGTGTAAAAAGGTTGCAGTCTTGAAGTCTATTGCAACCCTGAAGTCCGTTTAGATAGCATCGCATCTATCGGTTTATAAATACGACGCGGTGCATGTTCATCATAAAATTTGGCGAGGTTTGGTTCTGCAGCCCCACATGAGTAATAACATATGGTTAGCTTCTTAAAAAATTTTAGTAGATGCGAATATGCTGACTTTACAAATATCACTTATTTGCATCTTCCTTACCATTTAAGTCCAGCGAGTGACTGTGCCACGCGGGGGGAAGTGCTTATACGCCAGCCTCGGTTACTTCAGGTATCAGTTCACACGCGAGTGGCTAAGCTCGGTTTGTTAACTAATATTGTTTCATTAAGCTAACCATATGGTATCAATCAAGCGGGGCTGCAGAACCAAGCCTCACCCAAAATTATATGGGCCCAACACGACATCTTAGTCGCATCGAGGAATGCATGATTCCCCCAGCGATGGAAAGTGTACAGCTTATGATATGGAAACCCTAAAAACAGATGTATCGACAGGTTGGGATTCAAAGTTATCCTGGAATTGAAAAAAAGATTTAAACCGAAAGATACCGTTTCTTCGAGAAAGAATTTGAAGAGGGAGGAATTTTGTTCAAAGTGACCTCAAGAACGGAGATTTCGGTCCACGCTTTCGGGGAAAAATGCTTTGATTTTTGTGGTCGTCCAAATTAAATAGAAAAAAACGCATGCTGATTAAGAAGGCACTTTTAACAAGTGCAGTTTTTGCAGGCAGCCGCAGAGACGTGCACTCAAACGCCCGCTAGATTGAAATATATTGAACGTATGCTGTGGCGTGCATTCTACCCTGGGGGCAGATTTCAGACTTTCAGTTAGTGTGCCATGAGTTAGCTCATCCACTGCACCGCCTCGTTCTCCACTGGGAAGTGGCCCGTTTTGCAGGAGGCATTTGTTTGGGCTGTTGCCGACGTCGTCACCTCACTGCGCGCTCGACCTGCTCACCAGCGCTGGCGGCCGTGTCGAGGCGGCGGCGGCGACTGCAGGCGGGTGATGAGTCATCATCATCATCCTCCTCAAACGGGCAGATCTGTCCCCGCCCGCCTAGCGTTTGGTGGCTGTAAAAGCCCCAAGCTGACATTTCGCCCTGGGATAAAGACAGGTGGGGGAAGTGTCGGCGGGGATGTTGTTGCTGTTGCTTTTGTTGTTGTTGTTATTGGTGGCGGCGGCGGCGGCGGTGACCTGACTTTGAGAGGAGGATGCTACTGGAAGCGAAGAGACGAGTTCCAGGAAGCAGTCGTGGAGAATGAGACACGATCGCTGAGGCAAGAGCTTTATTCGCCACTTGGGGTTGGAGTGGCACACAGACCGGAGGCAACCATCAGACGTCTGATCATGAAACCGAAAGACCCACTGCCACGGTAAGAAACGTCTGGAGTCGTTTATCGGATCTGGTACAGTTGCGGACAAAGCAACTACGTCGGGGAAACCGGAAGCCTCTCTGCGGAGAAATGACGCCAACTCTCAAGTTACGACTCATTCGACGAGATCCGGCCACACATTCAAATTCGAGGAGGCCGAAATTCTCGCTAGAGGTGACAACCGCGCGAGCCGCGAGTTGCTTGAGTCATGGTTCACTGGCTCCCCAGTCCATTAACAAGTTCAACAACCTTTCCCTCCCATACTCTGTGCTGAGACTTCGCCTAGGCGGAGTAATTAACCAGGCTGGGAGCGCACAGGTCAGATGGTAGAGCAATCGTCACACCAACATCCAACACACGTGATGAAATTGCAGCAGTTAACTATGCGAATGTCGGCCATCAAACAATTAGCACACCAAGTGCGACGATCCCGGATGAAGGGGGAGGGCCGTGAATATTCATAGGTATGCGGTAGCATGGCGACAGCATCCTATAAATACTGCAACCCCTTGCGCATGAACCACCCGTATCTGCTGTTGTCTCTGATGATGGGTTCGAGCAGGAATCCGAAACGTCAGGCTAATAAAGCTCTTGTCCCAGCGATCGTGTCTCTTCTTCTCCATCATCTCCAACCAGTGCCGGGCCGTGGTTTTTGCACGTCCACCACCGTCAGGACATTCCTTTTCGGTAGTCCAGGCGACACCTTGAAGTGCTTCCCCTGATCCTGACTGATCGATCCGGCCTTGGTGGCGTCTTGAGTAGAGGCGCTTCCATATGTTACCACCTGCTGATCTCAGTTCACCAATGACAGCTAGAAAGTGACCAAAAAACACCTAGGAACCTCTGCCTGCCCCTCTTATGGTCGAAGGAGAGGTTTTCTTACTTGCAACAGTCCAGAATCGAATATTTGGAAAGAGCTTCTATACGTGTTTATACTACTTGTAATTAGTAAGTAACGGATAGTGATTGAGATTTTGCGACCAGCTAACATCTGTCCGCGGTTATGTACAAAATCCCTCTTTCACCTTCCCACTTATTACTGTTTTTCTCCGACGACTTGTAACCAATAGGGAGTTCAAAGGCGCTCGCCTATATTTCCCTTAATAAACTGAAACTGAAACCACCGATTTAGAGGCCCTGAGGAACGATTTTGAACTTTCGCGTAAGGAATTTGCTGAGACTGGAGCTACGAAAGAGCGGGGGCAAGCCCCTATTTCGTAGCCGTACTTCTTAGGGGTTAGGTGTCAGGGTTAGGAGTTAGGGATCAAGGTTAGGGGTTCTCGAGTCTGTCTTGACGCCTGAACGAGGGCGGGGATGGGGAGAAGAGAGTGCAAAGATGCAGTACAAGTTACAGCCCCTGTGCCTACCCTGTTGTGAAGCCCACAGTGGACATCGTCGGAAACGACGGTCGAAATGTCACTTAATAACTGTTTATTCCGTTTTCTCCCGCAACACATACACACCGGACTGCGCGTCTCTAAGGAAACTAGTTGTGGTGGTGGTGGGAGTCGTGAGCTGGTAATCACCTGCTAGAGGCAACGGAGACAGCAGTATATTGGCGACCCCTACCGTCAGTTGGCTTATTTTGAGATCGGTGTGTACCAGTCCCAGCCGGAGTACTCCACACTTTACTCCGACACTAACGGACTAGCGTTGAAGCGCTGATGGAACCTTGGTCTTCCGCTGATTCCGACACAAGCTGGTCATTTTGCCATCATTTTCTGCCTTCGATCGCAGATATTGGTGGTATAGCTGATTGAATGAGACATGAATAAGCCTGAAATAGTTGCTGTTTCGGTCTCTCTTGCCTTCGTTGGCACAGTTAAGAGTAGTCGTTAATATAATGTTTGTGCTCCTATATTCTCGGATCTGACTGCTTGCTTTGCACATTAGTTTACGCTGAGTGTTTCGCCTTTTGAAAGTGCACCCTATTCTGAACGGTCTCCGGGCTGCACACCTTGAGGACGCTTGTTTTGATATACTCCCTTTCCCCCCCCCCTCTTCAGCTCGCCTTGTCCAGGTCCGCCCTGAGCAATCTGCTCGGTGGGATCGGCTACTTCTACGGCAGCTCGATTATACAGTCTCCGCTGCTGGGGCCCGATCCGCTTGACTACGGGCCCGCCAGTCTCTACACGGCGACTCCCTCGCGTCAGCAGTTTCCGCGCGGTTTCCTCTGGGATGAGGGCTTCCACGGCCTGTTGTTGGCCCAATGGGATGTGGAGATGGCTTTGCAGTCGCTGAGCCATTGGCTTGACCTCATGAATGCCGAGGGTTGGATCCCACGGGAGCAGATTCTGGGCTGGGAGGCCCGCGCGCGTGTGCCGGCCGAATTTGTTGTCCAGTCTACGAGTGTGGCCAATCCGCCTACCTTGATGCTTGTTGTGGAGGTGCGTCTCTTCATTTTCACATCTCGAATCATGCATGGTCTGTCCGGTGATATGTGACACACTGTGTGAAATTCTTGGTCTCTCTCTCTCTCATTGAATCACCTCCACTTCCATAGCCCATCAGTAACCATTATCGCAGTCCCACAGTCAGTCCTATTGACCTTTCAATTCTCCGAATGCAGGCGCTGGGGACCTTTAAAACTAGCAGTAAAGGTCTATGATCTTAGTTTCTAACTTGCTACAAAACACGTACCGAACTACCGTTAATACTGATGCCGTCGCCTTGTCGGTTGGTACTCCAAGGGGTAGCACTTACGGCCGACTTTCTCTGCCATTAGTCGGAACGTTCTTGTCACAGATTATACACCTGGGATTCGAACCCAGGATCTTTGGTCATGGAGTCGAACGCTCTACCTATGAGTCACGGGCTCGTTGTCCTGTCGGTTTTGATCGGCAAATGACGGCTAGTAAGCCGGAAATGGCCAGTCCGGTCTACCTTGTCTTTGTCGTTATCATCTCATTTACTTCTACTACTAGTTACTGTGCGACTGTCTGCGATGGTTCTAGTATGAGCCTCAAGGCACAACGAAACGAGCATGTTCCGTAACCTGATCGATGAGCGCCCATCTACCGCGCATTATACAGTTTGTAACGAAGCTAACTAGCGAAAGTCAGACCTAGATTCAGGAGGAGCGCTAAGAGGTCAGACGGGATGGTTTGCTGTTTCTACCTCGACTCTTTCCTACTACTTAATATGATCTTTAAGGCACTCTCGCCTGTGCGACGCCCTGGCCACCCAGAGCGAGGACGAGTCATTTAACTCTGTCGGCCGCTGCACTCGTGCCTTTCCCCCCCCCCCCCCTTCTCGGTCGTCGGGACTTCTTTATATTGGGGACGACGAGTGAAGAAAGGGAGCGTGATAGATGCTACGCAAGTCCGCCCCGATCTAAACTGATTCACGCGTAAATCACCACGACTGCACCCCATCTCTTGGGCTGCAGTGGACATCGTTCACGAGGGTCAAACTGACATCTCCCTCGTCAGCTAGAATCGAACGATGTCAAGTAAGCCCTAAAGGCAACCCCACCATCTCTATTGCCTCTGGTAGTACCTCTCGATAGGACTGTACGGATGACCGCGCAGGTGACTCATGGTCGTGAAACCTAAAAACTTCTTTGAATTAACGACCATGAGTCACCTACGCGATCATCCGTACAAAGTCAAGCGGGAGCGTACACGCCTAGGCCATCGGAAGTTTTCCTTCAGCCAGTGTGTTGTTCGACCGTGGAACAACTCACTCCCACTTGAAATAGTGACATCTGATACAATGGCTGTAGTCAAAAGGCAGCTGGATCGTTTGATCTTTGATAAACGACGACTCTGCAGAACTATCTGCGGCCAGCCATAAATTTTATTTCTTGATTTCATCTCTATGTAGCACATCCCTGACGTTTCATGAAATTTTTCCTCTTAAACTACGCAAATGACCGCACTTTATGCTTATTGCATGTAATCGCACTTAAAATTTCATATGTACATTGAAAAGACCGCTTGTCTCACCCTTCGCAATCCTGCACGGTAAAAACGTCTTCTGTAAGAAAATATGTTACTGGCAAAAGTTTAGCAAGATGTGCATTTAACATTTGTATTGTATGTACCGTTTTCAATAGGGTCATCAAGGGCATTGCCTATTACCCCTATACAGGACGTTTTGTCTACCAAATCTGGCAGAATTTCGACCTTAAAGCGCAAGTCGGTCCTAGTCCTCGTAAATCTGCTATTGTCTATTTACCCATTTTGTCTTTACTTCTCCAGCTAAAAGGATTCCTTAATAACCGTGCGATTGTTCTTTTGCGCTTCTTGATTGGGGTTTTTTATGCTCTTGTTTCACACTTTTAATCGCCCCCAGGCGTTACTGCAGCGGTTACCTACCATGTCTCCCGCCGACTCAGAACTCTTCGCAAAGTGGGCCACCAATGCGTTTCCTCGACTGCATAGCTGGTTTGTGTGGTTTAATACCACCCAGGTCGGTAACTTGCCAACCACCTACCGATGGCGCGGCCGGCCCTCTGATAATCCATTCCAACTCAACCCCTTGACACTGAGCTCAGGTAAGATTTGAATGCATGTACTACCGATTAATATATAGTAGCAATGTATTTTCGAACTTAATTTACTGTCACCAGTTCCGTTTGCTCCACCCCAGGCCTGGATGATTTCCCACGAGCTTCGCATCCCACGCCCGAGGAACGTCATCTAGATCTGCGATGTTGGATGGCTTTATTTGCACGTGTCCTCAGTCAATTGGCCAACTTTGTTGTGTCGGTCTCTCAACAGCAATTATCCAAGCCCCCACCCCCTGTCCTGGATGCCCTCCACCTGCGTCACGCCTATGCTGCCTGGTCGGCCACCTTGACTGATCCGGACTTGCTGGATCGCCTTCACTGGTCTGATCGGAATACCATGTTTGCTGACTATGGTCTGCACACAGACGCTGTGGGCCTTACTCGCCCACCGGTCTCTGGGACGGGCCCCACGCCTGAAAATCCCGTAAGTGTCGGAATATTCTTTTGTCCCCCAGTTCGCACGTGACTACTTTAGTCTCCATCACCCTGAAGAGTATTTTTTTCGCGCATACTAAACTCCCTTGAATGGCCCAGGTGCCAACTCTCGTCCCCTCCCCCCTCTCCTGAGGTTGTGGCGGTCAAGGATGTGAGATCGACTTAAACCACGCACAATAAGTTCGTTTCGTCTACTGTCAGAAGTCAGGGAGCTGTGAGGACTAGTTTATTCTGTACACAGGGCGGGTTGCTGTAAGTTGGCGGTTTGCTTGCAACAGAGAAAAGCGTCCGTTCACGGAGAGCGTCAGTCGCGGTGTGTGTTGTTTACGCGGGTGAGTGTCTAGGTCAGCAGGAGGGAGTGACTGTCTGAGTGGTGGTCGTGTGATTGGACAAATTAGAGGACGAATGGAGGGCGCATACTCACAAGGCCTCACGGGAATCAAGTTAGAGCGTTCGACGCGCGTTAGGTGATACTAGTTTGTGAGGGCAGCCGGGAGTCGCTGCAGCTGGACCGGAGGCGTCCCAGTTCCAGCCGGCGGGGGTGGTCGTGCGTCAGCGGCCTGTCAGTGCTTGTCACGGCCATCGACCGACAAAACGGAGCCGGAGAAAAGGGTGGCTGGAGCGACTGCTACAAGGTCGCTAACAGCTTTCGAGGTAATACACTAACCTAGTGGTCTCGTAAACTACTGAGAGTTACAATGGGCGAATACCGCTCCCGGTAATGTTTAACCTCATTGTTAGGTATGACCCTAGACTTTCTTTACGCACCTGAGACCGATGAGCGTACTTCCGGCTACTTCGCTTGCATGGGACGATAAAGCCGTCGCGGAGAAGGAGACACGATCGCTGGAACAAGTGCTTTATTAGCCTGACGTTTCGGATTCTCACTCGAATCCATCATGAGACAGAAGCAGATTCTGTCTCTGATGGTGAATTCGAGTGAGAATCCGAAATGTCAAGCTAATAAAGCACTTGCTCCAGCGATCGTTTCTCCGCCGCGACTACTTCCTGGAACTCGCTTCTTCGCTTCTCTTAGCGATCAAGCCGTGTCGGATGTTACGTCTAATCCATTGGCTATTATTGGCCGAATGTCTCACCTTGGTACCGTACGTGTGATCCAGGGCAACGACGTAGCAAATACGGAGCCTGCGCGTGATTCTGTAGTTGAGTTGATAAGGTTGACATCTGTTTGCCTTTAACCTGTCAACGATGGTAATTCACTTACTGATGAGAGTGTTGTAATCGTGGACTACTGTTAGCGCCTCACCGCGCGACCACCTATGCCAGCGGCGAAGATTTAGTACCATAAATCCAAGCACCACCCACTCATCTTTTCGGACTGTGTTGAGCCAGATTTCGAGCTAATTGCTGGTGAGATGGTGGTATCAGACTCAGGACAGTAGGGAGACACCTCTGCTGTCTTTCTTGAATGTTCTGAGGCATCCTCACTGTGTTGCCAAATCGAGGGCTGTTCGGGACGAGTCTGTGTACTTAACCCATAGCAGCCCAGTCAGGTGACGTGAGCTGGCAACTGGGCCCGCCAGAATCGAATATGATCCCTGTTTCGGTTCTGCGCATCTACCGCATGGTCCGTTCGGGCGCCCGTTCAGGGCACTCCCACCAACGGTGAGAACTCTCCCGACACCCGCAAGTTTTGTCCTGCACACTCGAGGCCAGACCTTTGCGACCGTAGAAGACTGCGAACTGATGTCTGGCACACAGATTCAAGCTTCCAGAGGTTGAAGGAAGCAAGTCAGAGAGACCTCTTTTCTTCCTTTTCTTTTCGTCACTAACTCGTGCGTACTTTCCGTGTAGCCTCAGAAACGTCGCCACGTGTCCGCCGAGCCACGCTACCAATACGTCACTTCGGCCCTTGGCTACGCCAGCCTCTTCCCCCTCCTGCTGCGGATCCTGCCTCCCGACTCGCCCCGCTTGCCCGCCCTCCTCGACGCCATGAGTCGCGCGGACCTGCTCTCTTCGCCCCACGGCCTACGCTCCCTGGCAGCCAACTCTCCCTACTACCGACGCCCCAACACTGAGCACGATCCGCCCTACTGGCGCGGCGCCATTTGGCTCAATATGAACTATCTGGCTCTACAGTCTCTGCGTTATTACGCCCGCGAGCCGGGCACCCCCTTCCCCGTGGCACAACGTGCAGAGGACATCTCACGCAACCTGACTGCCTCCCTCCTCTCCACCGTGCTCGGCGAGTTCAACAGAACGGGATTTCTGTGGGAACAGTACGACGATAAGACCGGTTTTGGCCAACGGGCACACCCCTTTAGCGGATGGACGGCACTCATTAGTCTCGTTATGCCCTATGATAGTGTTGCATAATGCTCCCCCCCCCTCCCCCACGTCCTCTGTTTGTTTTTATTTTTTGTTTTGTTCCATTTTTTGCTTTTCTTCACCCCGCCGGTCAGCTGTGAAACCGGTCCCGCAGGCATACGCATGCCGTTGGGGATCCTCGTGATAGGCTTTTGTGTATCAATGTGCGTGCGTCCACTTGTCCCCCTCCGTTGGTGTTTCTTTGTTTTAACAACTTTTACTTGGTTATGTGCGCTTTTGCTATTGCTTCTGTTCCGAATAAAGTCGGCTGCAGAAAAGTGCGCTCTGTCCTCTGCTTGGCGCAGTCCGGCTGCGCTCAAGGGGGGGGAGGACTTGTGCGTAGCGCCGGCTCCACGATTTCTTGGACCGTCGGTCTACGTCGTTGGCTAGCACAGAAGACGAGGCGGTTCTGCAAGTCGGGCTTTATTTTTGAAGGCCTCTTCGCAGAGGCGGGCTGATATGTGGTGGGGAGAGACTCACTTACAAAACTCGACAAAATTGTTACTTAATAAAATATTAGTAGGTTGTATTTGGCAGAGTGGGGGGAGGCATAAAAATATTTGACAAGGCGCGGTTAAGAGTTTCGGGACTTGTGGTGCTTTTTCCTATGCTTCTCTGACCGATGGTGGTGGTGGTGTCTGGACCGGCCTCGCGAGGATGATCTGCTGCGAGACCTTGAGTGATGAGCACTGGAAAGCAGATCACATACAGACGGACTAACAGTACATGAATATTCAAGTTGAGGAGGGGAAATGCTGGAAGGAATGCCTGTACCAATTGCAAAGTGAGTACCCCAGTCTCAAACCTGAGGTCTACGACTGGCATAAAACTTCAAAGTCTTATTGATTGGACGGCAATTTGGTTTTAAAGGATGGGGCAAAATTAAAGGCAGCAGTACTCACTGGCTTCGATGCTTCTTCTTTTTCTTCTTGGAAGCCTTCTTGGCGGCCTTGGCTGCAGCGGCCTCTGTAAGGAGAGAGAGAGAGAGAGAGAGGAAAAATCCTTCTGAAGAGGAAGCAAGTGGATGGCCGGCCTGCAACTAGTGCAGACCTCTTGCGTGTTCACAGACGAAAAACAGCGAAAGGGGTCCGCCGCCGTCGGCTATGACCTTCTTGGTGATGATTCGAAAGCCTACCAGAGTTAGCACGGTACGTCTGAGGTTGGCGGACGGTTGAGCGGTGTGAGCCACCTGCAGAATACAGTAGGTGGGCTAACTCATAAAATGTCAACCGAAATGCGTTTTCGTTTCGAAAAGATTAAGTAAGTAGGGTTGTAAAACTAGTCAGCCTGCAACATAATTTTATAATATTTCCTTTACCTTAAAATGCCGGCTTTCGAATGAACTTCCTTCCGGTTGCATGCAAAGACTACACTCTGTAAAAAACGACCGCATAAGTACTATGAATTTTCCTGATTGATTTTCGATGCCTCTAAGTGTCCGACTATATTTCATGGAAAATTTGCATAAAAATCTTCACTCTTTTGCTCATTCGGTAGACAATTATGTCTTTTTTCCAATCTTATACTCTAAGGAGGGACATAATCCGGTTTTAAAAGTGTTTCTAATTATGGGACTTCTAAATACCGTGAAATGGCTGTTCATAAATCGTCATGTCTCCGCATTTACCAATGTGGATTGTAACGTTAGCAATATGGATCAAATCCATTTCTAAAGTTTATGAACGTTATATGGTGCCCCTTTATTACCGTAGAGAAATATATGGTTTTTCGTACGCGGAAAATATACGGCTTGTAGATTGGAAACCCTGAATGCAAGTGTAACGGCAGTTCGGGTTCAAAATTATTCTGGAATTGGAAAAAGTTTTTTTTGAAAATCGAATTATACCCTTCCTTGGAGTATAAGATTGGAAGAAGACTTAAATTTCTACCGAATGAGCGGAAGAATAAGTATTTCTATGAAATATCATTGAATCTTTAAGGGCATCGAAAATCTATGAGAAAAATGCATGCTACGTGGGTATTCACTTTTTACAGAGCACTATTTCTGCATGCAGCCGGAAGGGAGTTCGTTCGAATGCCGACATCCTGAGGTAACTGAAATATAGAATTGTTGCAGGCGGACTAGTTTTACAGCCCTGCTTAATTAATCCTTTCGAAACGAAAACGCACTTCGGAATTTCGGTTGACATTTCATGAGTTGGTCCACCTACTGTTCGTGAGAGATACCGGTGCTGCTCTTAAGTTAGTCAAACGACTGACGATATGTTTCCGCCGGCTGCATGTTTCGGTAGCCGAACAGGAGCCATTGTAGCCTGACTTTCAGTCCACCAATCGGCCACTCAGCACACAAACACCTAGGTGGACTTACTGCGTGGTCGGAGCTGAAGAGTTAATTAGTGAGCTTGCAAGTCACCATACCATACCATGTTGGTCTCAGCCGCGTCTGCGCGTGCCACACACGCGACCTGGTCCCCCCCCCACACGCACGCACACCAGGATCTCACATAAGGGGAGGAGCCAAGATGCACGCCTCTCACTTGCATGGGAGGTTCCGGTGATGTGTGATGTTGGTATGCGTGGTGTTTGTGTTGATGGTGCAATGTGTGGTGATGTGGTCGTGTCTGCAGTGATTTGCTGCAGGTAGCAGACGGAACTATTGAGACAATGTCAGGTACTAGTTAGCAGGATTTAATTTTCAAAAGCATGCAGAGTCAGCAGCAAACGTTGCTCAGTTCAGCAGGTAATAATCTGATTGTGGAAAATGCTAGATTATGACAAGGAGATCTGTCGAGAGAAGCATACAATCGCACGTACCCAGTTCGGCCTGTTTGGCCTCAATGGCTGCTTTGAGGACCTCATCCACCTCCGATTCAGAACTCGTACTTTCAACATCCAAGACGACATCACCGGCAGCGTCTGCTCGAAGGTAGTTTCTACACTGGAAGGTCAAATGACCAGCTTTAACGGTAGAGGGGACGGAGGGTAAGCTTAACTTACTGAAGCCACACTTTTTGCAGCCGGCACGAAAGGTTTGTGTAGGAGGCTTTGGAGCTAAATGAACATAGGTGCAGGCTAGTGTAAGGCTTACGATCCATGGGTGCGAATCCACGCCACAAATGTTGAATAAACTATTCAAATCCACGGGGCTTCGGCGTTCTTCACAGGGCGCTCAGTGAGGGGAACTGAAATTTAGGAGTGAGGCATAAGTAAATAAGGTTCAACGCAAAGCGACGGCGAAAAATGGCAGAGAGAACACTAAACCAGGTAGGGGATGAGTTATATCCTAGTGACAGTGAAACATCGAGGCCAACTGCCAGAAATGAGGAAAGCGGGCACGTGAAAAAAAAAACAGGGCAGAGTTGTTTTGACAGTTATAGAAGAACGGAAACGCAGACAAAAACACTTGCTGCATTTACTGATGCGTACAATAGAAGCGAATCAAATCTTTTCTGACATCGCCAAAATACTGCTGACAAGAGCGAGCCATGAAATCGACGGCAAATAGGAAAGCGATTAACTCTTTTATGTAGTTAAGCTACGGGAGCACGCTTCGAGAGGAAATCGCTTCACGTAAAAAGACCGCAAAAAGTATTCAGAATATGACCTGGTAGAGAAGACTACCTAAGAAAGTTACGCTCAATTACCTTTCCGCACCTGGCCTATCTCATGATGTGTTAACTGCAATGCTGAGGTGTTTTCGATTAGGAAAGATTACGCAGGTAAGGTTATAATATTGGCTATCGTGCAGACATCTTAAGATATTTTTGTCTCGTCAGAATGCTGAATTTTGGATGAGGTTCTTCCCGGTCACCTGTAATACCGCTCTCGGTAAAAAAAAAGGCTGCTTCAGTAACATAAATTTTTTCATTGATTTTCAGTGCTCCTAAAGAATCAAGTGCATTTTATAGAAAAAGCGCATAGAATGTATTTTTTCTTGTACGCATTTGCTAGTGAATCACGTCTTCTTCGGATTTTGCACCTGAGGGATAGCATGCTGTGTACCTTTCGTGTAAGGGAAGTCATACGGGTCTTCACGATACTATGAGGATATAATACAAGGCTCACGGAATGGTGCGGTGAATGTGGACCGTGTTATGTCAGTAAATCAGTATATTTAAGGCCTATAGGCCCAGACCTAATTTTTCGCGCGGTTATCCGCTGTGGCTGGTGGACTTCGGCCCAAATATTCCTACATAAAAACTTAGGTCTTAGCCTATAGGCTTTAAATATACTGACCTACTCAAAGTTCGCAGTTAATTTCTATGGAAAGTTAAAAAGCTACAATTTATAAATTGGAGTATCTACCGAAATGTAGACAGGGAATGCTGGGGGACCCACTGAAGAGCCGAACCCCTCGCAGCTGTGTCATGCAGCGGCCGAATACATTTATGGGCTTTTGGCTAGTACCTGTGCTGTTAGTATGGAATCACCTGACGCTAAAGATCTCAAAAATCGCATAATATCTTGGAGTGTAAATTTTAAAGACGCACTATACTACTCGACGAATAGGACAACAAATTACCCTCGCGCATTTTTTCCATAAAATATATGCGAATTTATAAGAGCACCGGAAATTACTGGGAAAAATGCATGATACTTAGGCAGTTATCTTTAACCGAGTGGGATTTTTGCAGGTGACCGGGACGAAACTCATTCCAAAACCGGCACCCTGGCATGACTAGAATATTGTGGGATCATTTTGCGTACTAATCAACATCGTAAATCCAGCCACGTAGTCTTTTTTATCTGAAAACACATTTTGGAATTTTGGTCAGCATTTCATGAGATAGGTCAGATACCATATTTCCAAAATGACGATTGCGTTTACCTTGACACACGCAGTCAAATACATGGATGATAAATATGGACTCCAGCTCTTAATTGGAATTACAAAACGGACTAAGCAAATGGAGCCTGTTGAAGTAGTTGTTTTTTACTAATTTTTACGGTATGAACCGAAGGATAGGTGAGTCAGCTAAATCAGAGCAGACAAATCTTTGAACGAGTGACAGAATATGGAGGAGGTTGGTTGGCCAGTTATACACCTAGGACAGAAATCGGAATTGGGATGGCAAGCGTTTATCCAATAATCGCGCCGCCCTCCAATGACAGGCTTGGGAGCACCGCGGAACAAAGTGGTCACAGTAACGAGACAAGCACCCTTAGCCAAATAGGGTATAGTTCAGTAGTAGAACTTACAGTGAATGACCAGCTGAACCCGGATTTAAATTTAGGGTCCACTGATCCTCGGTTGGGTGATGACTGCCTGAAGGCAGCAACTAGCCTAGGAAAGGTCATTTCAGTCCAATAGTAAGTCTTATTGTTCACACAATCGGTTAAATCATATTTAGGGTTTAGGGGTGTCTAGTTTGATAACAAACCCGTTAGGTGTGGTAGGTCAAATCGTGCAAGTGGCGACTACTTCCTGTGGGCTTTAAATGGCACCCAACTCTCATCTGTGGCTCCCAAAGCTAGGCTCTACCTAGCGGTCATCTTCCGGTAACCGCCTCGACCGGCGGGCTAAATAAGATGAGGGTATCTGGTGTTGTGTGTCCCCACGCCTAGCAATTCTGCTCTTCTCCCCATCCCTCCTCTTAACCCGCCCTTCCTACTTCCAAAAAGTCCTACGGTGAAGGCAACATGCAAAGCCGTAGGCGGTCTAGACAAACTCAGGTCGCTCTTCCGCTAAACCCGGCCGCAACCCATTGTGGACTTTGGTACAAGGGCAGCCTGCAGACATCGCTTAAGGATTTACAAATCAATCCGGCGACCTGTGATGAGGTCGCCCAGGACCCACCGGACTGGAGAAGAACAGTGAAGACAGGGCGGCAATCTACGAAGCGAACCAGATCGCCGCTGTCAAAGCCAAGAGAGTGACTCGTAAATCTCATGCGCCTTCGACCTACAACGCCAATACGTAAACTCCTCCAACATGCTTACACTGTCAACGAACGTTCTGCGCACGGATCGGTGTCATCGGACATCTGCGGACTCAATGCAACAACAACCGGACAATTCCACCTGCTGCCTCCGCAAACGTCCCCGTCGTCACTCCTACACCAACCTCCATGACGGGGACCACCCCACAACCGCTGATCATACTTCCGATGCCCTGACGCCACAGTCGACGTCGTCGACCCTCATCTTCTCTATCGTTCCTGCCAGTATCCCCGCAACGACGACTACCACCTCTCCAATCCGTACTACCGGTGAGAACACTTCCGGAGCCCATCAACTACTACCCTCATCACCAGCAATGTGGACCTGACCCCAACCTGTCCAAATTGCGATCGCACCTTCACCCTATGCATCGACCTGGTCGGTCACTTGCGAATCCATCGTTCTGGCGCACTACTGCCAGGGATCTCGGCATAACCCGCCGCATCCGTCCTCACCATCCGCACTGCATACGCACCTTCACTCACCGCAACACCGGCACGCCAAACACGCCTTCCGAATCCGACAACTTCCTCATCTCCAGCACTACTAACTGTCCCTCTGTAGGCGCGGCAAACGATTGCAACATCACTGCCGCCGACCCAGCAGCTCGCAGCCTGTCGCAACTCTTCTGACATCTATGTGTCTGCCTTTATGTGTCTGACTATGTTTCTGAGCGCTTGCAAAAACGTCTCACTGGGCTCCGTATAATTTACGAGTCCGATGGTTAATTTCATTTTATTATATCATAATGTACTGATGTTGTCTAATACAAGAAAGAGGGCCTTAATGCTAGTCACAGATCTTGTCAACTCCCAATAAGGAGCGATAATAATACATCTGTGGAGCCCCACGATTCCTCATATGATATTTTTCAGGAAAATCTCAAGAACGTACAAAACCTTGGCGACCTGGCTTGCGGTTATTCTATCTGGCAGAGGCTTATTGCCTGCAAAAAATTATGGAAGGGGGAGAGGACTAAGGGCGTCTGGGATCAAGGACGGGGTCAATGGGAACAATGGAACTGAATGACGGTGTTCTAGTAGAACAGACCTGTCGTTGGTATAGTGTCCATATCGAACGCACTGCACCACGTGGTCACCGACGTCTTCTACTATCCCTGATGGCATTGTACTAGCCTCTGTAGGGCCCCGTACAAGCTGCTCAGATTTGCAGGCTTATGCGCGACTAGTGGTCTGATTGACTGACTTGGAACTTGAAGGAGCAATTAAGAAGCTTGTGCTTGCAGTGACTGGGGGGATTGTAATGTTCTCCAGGCATATCACAGCATGTGGATATCGCATCGCTATATGTCCCTACCTCGACTTCGTTGTTTGATATACATGCCGAGAGAACTTTGTAAGCTAACCTAGCAGACGACATTTATCTGACGACCTAGGGATAGTGAGTATGTACTGCTGAATATAATTAACTAAATGCACACCTGACCAGGGCCGCAAGAGTCCTCGGGTTTGTTCTTCCCGCCCAAAGTTTAGTCTAATAAAATCCTAATTTTATTTTTCACTGTATTACGCTGACTTTCTAACATATTTCTTTGAGTCCAGCTAGTCGCGTTTGTTTTTCCTCCTTTCTGCTTTTTAAGACCGCATCTAGACAATCACTTAACTCTGTTAAGAGCTGGTTGTTTGAATCAAGGCAGGTCTTTACATACGCCGTTATTTCTTCTACCCTGACTGCAATTAATTGAGGCGGAGCTAGCTTATTGGCAATTTACTTCTACTTGTTAGCCGTATAAATGAATAGATTGAGTTACTCACTTCAGATCGTATGTCCGTCAACAGGCTATCCTTCACCTGAAGCAGTCAAATGGTTCTTGTGACCCAATTGTGAAAAGTTTGCCGGTCTCGGTGGAATTAGAACTCGCGACACAAGGGGTAGAGTTTAAATACAGCGAGTGCTCTTGTCAACCGCCTAGGAGGCCTTGATGGGAAGCCGTGAGTCGAGTCACATTTGGGTCAAGTTGCCCGCGGAGCCTACCGCCACGCGTGGGATCCGCCAGTTCTAATACAGTAAGCCGACCGCCCAAGCAGGATTTTCTGAGCAATCATCTACTCTCCGGACTTGATATGGCCAATTCGCTAAGTGGGCTACCTTTGAGATTTATACAGGAAAAAACTGTCATTGTGACTGATAGTGAATCGATGTCCCATCAAGTGAGAGTGCCTGAAAAAGGCCGTGAGGTTTTACGCCTCCTCTGGTGAGCGAATGGTGGCTTGACCCAATGGCTGAAGGAATATTGGATGCCAGTACTTTGGTTTGGACCTACATCTTCTTCAAGTTGTGCTGCCGTCCCGCCTAGTTGAGCAATCCCTGTTATTGCGGAAGGCAGCGATAAGGATGTCATCTAGGTAGACATTGTTTGGCCAGTTTACAAGATGAGAACGAGGCAGTCCGCTTATCTAAGCAGTTAAAGTTAATTTTGAGCTTCAAGCTACACGAACAGAAAAGCAAAGTGTTACTTCAATGACACCCATACCCGAATAGGAAAAGGCCATCACATCTATGGAACTGGAGCGTCGGAATCACGCAATGCGCCTAGCATTCGGTGTAGATTTGGACCTTGAGGGCGATGAACTACACTTTTATGTGCGTGTAATGACCAAACCGTTCAATAGCAGGAACGTGCTTTCCCATGCTTCGTCTTTCACTGTTCCGATGGGTTGCATTACCCAGTGGCTGTACTCGCAAAAAAGTCGTGCAGAATTTATGTAGACCAAAGTTAGACTGTAACGAATGTATGAAGTGGTTAAATACAATGCTTAACCTCGAGCACTTCTCCGTACTTCCGTACCTCTTCGCCTCAGGCCAGAGGAGGCGAAACCAAACTATGGGCTTCAATTCCACGTTTTTTTTAGCGACGCTTCAGACACCGCTTATAACATGATCGTGATGAGCAAAGGCTCAACAATGCCATCTCAATCAACGTTTTCTAAAGCCAGAATTGCCCCTATTCGCGCGACTAGTGCACAACGCCTGGAGCTAAGGGCAGCTGTAGTAGTCATTAAGATATCTGAGTTGTTCCGCACAGATATGACTAAAGATTTCAACAACCTTCTTCTGAACAAACTCTCTAATAGTGCTTCAAAGCATTCATAATGCTTCGAAAAGTTTTCTCACCTTTTTCTCCTATCAGTTATTGCTTATACACGACTTTTCTAGTCCAGACGATTGGAGCCACCCCTCCGACCTGCCATCCCGCGGTGTATTTGGGGACGTGCGGAAGTTCTCCTTCTCGGTTCGGGTGGTCAAACCGTGGAATGAGCTTCCCGCAGATGTTGTGATGTCACCATCTATACAAAGTTTTAAGAAGAATCTGGACATATTTATGTTCCGAAATGACCAAGAGCGATGAGAAGTCGAGCTCACCCCCTGTAACTCCTTCTCATTTTGTCCCACCATTATGGGCGTGTTCGAACTATTTCAGCCCAGAACATCTATCTGTACACCACACATTTTTTACGTTGCAAATAGGGTACTCAAAGGCTTACGCCTATTTCCCTCAATAAACTGAACTGAACTGAACTGAACGTAACAAATAGGCTAGAATGTTGGAAAACACGGTTAAGAGCTCACATACCAACCCTCGAAGTTTGTCAGAAGCGGTAATCTGTGCAGTCTAGGCCCAGGCCTGAACAGGCTGTTCTTTTGATGGAGGCGGACAAAGCCCGAGGTCTCTGGCCAAGAACAACCATCGAAACATTATACGCAGGATCGGACAATCTAACTTGCAAAGTCACCGCTTGCCCGACGGGAGGACCTGTGCGGAGGGACATCTGTCGAGTTTGTCCACCGGGAGAAGTCGGTCAAATAGAAAATATGTGACATTTACAAGCGGTCGGAAACCTCAACTTGGCGGGGAGTGCGGCATTCCCTTACAGTGTCAAATTCGTTTTTGTAATGATGTCAACCGAAGGATACGGTTAGAGACGAAGACGAACCCTGAAGTAATTAGCCAAATGTTATAAAACCGATGTGACTTGTGAGAAAAACTGCCGTCAATGAGAGGGAAAGAGTTTGTGAAGGTACGAGACTTTCGTCGTCGAGGGGGGATTCGCAAGCAGAAGAGACGACTCGATAACCGAAAAGCGCGGTAAGAAACACAGATGCATCGCGTGGGCTGCCACCAACCCGGCCTTTAAATAATTTTTGGAAATAAAGCCCAGGTATCATATGTTCTTAAACGGGAAACAGTTCTTTGCAATCCACATGGGAGGTGTCCTTTTAGTCGTATTAAGAGCCGGTAGAAAGGCAAAAATTAAGGGAGCACTGGGCAGGACCAAAAATCAGGACTGGTGGTAATGGCTAAAAATGTGAAGCGAGAATGATACGGGTCAAACGATCGTCACAATGGCCGACGCCTTTTACAATCAGGCCCGATCCCAACCGAAAATACGGACACTGTAGATGATATAGTAGGATGTACAGAGACTGCTTAACAAAACGGATGAACTCAAAACCTTGGTTGACGGTCACACTCTAGATGTCATCGTCTAGACAGAAACATGAATTTCCAAAGTTATTTGGGAACAAAGGGTATCCTTCAGCGGTTGTCAGCTGTTTGGAAGGGACAGGGAATACCGAGGAAGGGAGGCCATTGATTGTGTAAGCCATACTTTAACAGTGGTCGCTGAGCAACATCATATAACAGCGGAAGTGGAATCTTTATCTTCAGCTTTAACACTAAGTACGCCCGGTCACTGGCATATGCAGTTGCAAACCGTTCCAAAAACAAGAATGCCGAACGCGGTGGTTTTCATCTAACAGAACTGAACAAGACCTGCTTGATCAAAGATGTCCTTATTAGTGGCGATTTCAACATTTATAATATCGACTGGCACGTCTGAACTGTTTCGGGCCCATCGGATACGTTCTACTACCATTTTTGAAAGGAACAGCGTCAAAACTTCCCTTATCTGGTGCTCGCCCAAGACAAGAAGAGTGTGCTGGCTTCATAAAATCTCCTCAAAAAGGATGCTGGCGGTCTTTAAGTAGTGATATTTAAGTACCCCATGTCCTCCCAGCCGGACTCACCTAGAAAATTTAAAACAACCCTCTAAAGAGGAGATTGGCCTAGTATGCGAACTCGTGTCTCAGGAGAGCCGCGGACAGCCACATTGCAGGGAACACTTCAAAAATATACAATACTGGAACACGTCCAGTTCGTTGGATAAAATAATGATTGATCCAAACCCTCCACTCAGACGAAAGAAAACAAACAACCGTCCACTGTTGGTACATCGGGGACTAAAAATCGACTTTAAGAGAAAAATTGGATGCGGAGATGTTTTCGAATAACGGGGAGTTCCGAAT